GGCCATCGGAACCCCCTTCAAGCTGGCTCCTGTGTCCTTCTGACATGCCCCATCTTTCTTTGCACCCTCTGTAATTTCTGGAACAGCATGATAGTCCATGTTTCTCTTGTTCTTTCCCTGTGTCAGCCTAGAACTCAATAATTTCTCCAAGGAGCCCTGGTTCCCTTTATTGGACAATGGTAGTTAGAAACCAAGATCCAGGCCCTGGGTGTGCCCATTACACCTTCTGTACCCTCTAATAAGCAGACAGAGCTAGGAAGTATGTGTGTGTGTGTGTGTGTGTTTGTGAGTGTGTGTATCTGTCCATACTGATATGTCCAATTCCAATCCGACATCACGGGGTTCCCGACCTTCCCCCTTCCCACTTTAGCAACTCCATTCTCCAACAGTGAAAAACCTGGCTGTCATTACTCGCTATGTAATTTATCTATTTGCTCAACCCCAACATATACATAAAGTAGTTTTGGAATTGCTAACCACACTACCGTGAAAAACAAATTGACTAATTGGAGTTCAATCTTTTATGTATTTATTTTATAGCTTTTTGTTTCTTTTTTGTTTTTAACCTAAAGTGCTAAAGTGTGAACACAATCAATGCCGCGACCAAAAGTCAACTTGAGTTAGTTTTTGTTTTTTCTTTCTTCAGTGTGGTTATGTTATTTATTTGAAATACATAATGTAGTCACTTGTTTCTGTTTGTATTTCAGGAAGTCTTAAAGGAAGAGCTTTCCTCTTAAAAGTATTCCTGTGAGAAGCAGATGGAAATTTAGAAATCTAATGCTTGTCATTTTCAAAAAGTTGTGAGAGACTATGACCTCTATGAAATGGACTCAAAACATTCTACATGAGAATAGGAGAATGTGAGAAACCAACAAGACACAACACTTATGGGAGAATTTAACATACCTTTGCTGGTCTATGGTAGAACAAGGAGGTAAGAAATAAATTAAGGTGTAGAAGGTTTTGTAGTGCAATTGATAAAGATGTAATGATATGGGTGGGTGCTGATGCAACTGATAGAGAATATGTCATGTTATCAAGTATGATCAAACATACGCCAGCAATCAAAGAAAATCTCATAAAGTTCCCAAAAGTAGAAATTGACCAGGCCATATTCTCTGATTAAGAGCCAGTAAAACTAGAAATTATGAATATGCATTTGCACAAACAAGTGTTTCAACCTACTAATCAGAACATTAAAAATCACTTTTGTAAATAAAAATTGTCAAAGACAATATACAAGTACAATTAAACATGGAAAATACAGAAAATAATTGAAATGAGGATCTTATGCATCATAAATATGTTGGTTTCTTCCCAAGCAGAAAACAGAGGTAAATTCAAACCCTTACTAACAAGAAAGAAGAAATGAAGTGCACACAATGAAGTTTTTTTTAGAAGTCTAACACAATCATAGATATGATATGATATTACAACTTGTTTCCCTCTCCCCCTCCCACCACTTAACACCACTTCATGAATGTCTTTCCTTTGTAGGACAGATAGAGCCTCCTTACTTCTTTTATTAATGACAGGACATTATAGCATGTAGTATATTATAGATTATTTAAACCACACTTCAATAAGGTAAAATTATTCTACATTTTTTCAAAAAGTAGTGCCACAGTAGGCATCCAGTTAGATATTTTTTGCAATATGCAAGAATTTTAGTAAGTAAAATTCCAACTGTGTAATTGTTGGGTCAAAGGATGTGTGCATTTAAAACATTAATAGCTATTGCAAATTCCTCTAAAAAGATGATATTGATTTAAATTCCCATCAACATTATTTGAGTGAACCTGTTTCTTCACACTGCCACTAACAAAATATATTCTCAATGCTCAACTGATAGAGAAATGCCAATCCATTTTTATTTTAATTGCATTTTTCCTGATTAACTTGTATGACTGAACATTTCTGGCCAGTTAAGTTTCTCCTATGAACTGTCCCTATCCTTTACGCACGTTTGTCTCTTTCTTATTGATTTGTAAAGAAGCTTTATATAGAATACATATTAACCCATTGTTGGTAGTACACGTCGATAGAGTGTTTTTCACCATTTAGAAATTTATGTGACCAAATGTATCATTTTGTTCTTATGAGTTTTTATTTATTTTGAAAGTCCTTCTCTAGCCCAAACACTAGGAGGGGCTGCTGGCCAGGCTTGAGCGTGTGTAGACCCTTAGTTCCATATCTGGCCACTCACAAAGCTTTCTTCACCCCCACGGCAGGTGAGCTGGAGCACGGGAGGTGAGCTGGTCCTACGCTTTCTTCCCTGAGTGTGTGGTTGGGGCCAAGGGCAGGGGAGGGTGGGAGGGGCAGCAAGCACAGGCAGCCTTCCCCTTGGCAGCCCAGGGCACTGAGTCCAAACTTATCAAGGACCCCTAGAATTCCAAGAATGGACCTGATGGGAGAGCCACCAGAAAGCTGAATAGACCAGAGAACTTGACCCAGACGATAGAAAATGAGGGATGACTGAGAACAGCCCTCTTGGTCCAAAAGCAGAATTCAAGTTTCTGATGATGACCTTGTAAGTAGCAGCATTTTAGCAGTTCTCAAGCAAATTCATTTAAAGGAATTGATTGAGCACCTGCCCTGTGCCCTGCAGATAGCAGTGGACACAACAGCGATTAGAACAGCCCTCATGGAGGGTCGCTATTCCCCCTGTGTGCCTGTCAGCCCCAGAGACCACTGGCCCTACCGCTCACTGGGGCAGGGGGTGGGCAGCAGCCTGGCAGGGGACACAGCAGCTCCGGCCAGATCGTGCCCAGGCACAGCCTGCAGCTGCCAGAGACTGGGACTCACATCCGCCACCTGCCCGGGTCACTGCCCCTCCCACAGGTTGGCCTGGCATTTCAGAAGGGACCTGTGGAACCCAGCAAATATCCCAGGCAAATCAGCTCCTTTCTTCTCTTAGCTCCCAAGCATTCTTTTAAAATAGTTAACATAATAAAGACTTTATTTCAGAAAATTTAAATACGCCCCAAAAGAATAAATACAAATTATCCACAGTACCCCTGCTCAGAGATGAGGACAGTGACTATCACAGGACACAGGAGTCCCACTGCACAAGTTAATTCCACGAGATATGTAACACTATAAATATAAGTCACTGCTGTAATACACATGCATGCACTTATGTAACAAAGGTGGGATCGTGCGATTCGTGCTATTGTTTAGCTTGCTTTTTTGGTGTAACAATGCAGCAGATGATAATTTACATTCACAGTCCTCTGTGGTAGTACCTTTAATGCTACTCTATTGTACCCCGTACCACCTTGGGTCTCCATCAAAGCCTTCTCACAGTGCAGCATGATTTTTCACAAATGCATCTTCGCCGCAGGCTGTGAGCCCACCGAGGGCCGATGCCACGTGCGAGTCAGGTCCCCTGCTCTCAGGGCAAAGTCTGCTACGTAATAACAATATTAATAACCAACAGTTACAGAGCAGTTGCTGTGTGCTGGATATTTTAAAGCCCCTCTTGAAGCAACAACTCCTAATAGCAACAAGCATGCCCCGTGTCCAGACCTTGGTTTCTAATCCCGTGCTAACCCCATTCTCCAGTGAAAGGAGGCAGGGCTGCTCACGGCGCTGGGTGCTCACAGGACCGGGGCTGGAAACGCACCAGATGAGCCTGGAGCATCTTGTAGTGCCAGAAAGTGAGACAGTGCTCAAAGCGCAAAATGAGGAGAGTGTGTTCAAGGGACTCAGGAAGCCACCGAACGAGCTCCCGATGGCCAAAGCTGGAGCCATTTGAGCCAAAAATAGTGTGCCGAATTAAAACTCAAAGTATAAAATAAATATCCAGGGGTCCCTCCTGATATAAACAACTGAATGAATAACAAACGGGGGAGAAGAGGCAAATCTTTCATGCGGAATTCTAAGTAACATGTGTAGAGACTCTGCGTCCAGGAGGTGCAGCTCAACTCCGGCCCCCGGAGCGTGGGCTGTGCAGGAAGACGCTTGCACGGATGGGGAGGGTCGCCTTCCATGGAGACCCTGACGCTGTGCCACCCAGGCGGTCAAGGCTGATATCCCTTGTCACAGAGCATGTAGACGGTGCACAGTGATGCGACGTCATGTGTCTGGCACCCCAAACCTCACAAGCCCAATCTAATCACTGGAAAAACATCACAAAAACAAATGCAAATTGAGAGACGGTCGACAAGCTACCTGAGCAGTGCCGCTCAAGACCGCCAGGATGTTCACAAAATCAGGGGAGTCTGGGAAACCGTCACGGCTAGGAGGAGCCTGAGGAGATGTGACTACTAGATGTCACCTGCACTCCTGGATGGGATCCTGGGACAGAAAAGGGACATTAGGTAACAATTTTAAAAGATCTGGATAAATTGCAGCTTTTGTTAATACTAAGGCATCACTACTGAGTCATTAGTTGTAGCGAGCATACCACACTCATGTGAGATGTTGACAACAACAGAAACGAGGGGAGGGTTAGCCTCTGTACTACCAGTAACTTTTCCATAAAACTATTCTAAATGAAATTTTTTTTCAAAAAAGTGCCCTTCATCTATTTCTCGTTTAATTCTCCCGATAGTCCTGTGGGTCCCTGAGGAGTGGGGACGTGCAGAGCCAGCGTTTTGCCCCAGGTCCCAGGTGAGTGGCGGTGTCAGCCAGGGGTACAAAGACAGCAAGGTCAAAGGTGACTGCTCTGTAAATACCGGGGAGGTGGGCTCGGCGCTCCCAGCTGGTTCAGCCCACCTTAAACTGCCGAGGAATTGCTCTGGTCCCCGGGCTGCCCACAGGAACGCCCTGGCACCTGCGGCTGGAGGGGCGCTGAGCTGCTGTTGCAACCCTGGGCACAGGCGCACTGTCGCAAAGAGCTGGGCCCAGAAAAGTGGAGATGAAGTTGTTTTCTTTCCCAAATTAATATGGAGCAGCGAGCAGCTTAATCAGACATTGGGTTCAACAGTTCCTCCAGTTGCCATAGTAACCAGAGAAGGCATTTACAAACACGCCCCGTTTGACCTTGTTCTCTTTGACTGACAGGTGTGGAGTCTGGTCACCGCCGACTGGGACGGTGTCCCTACGGTTCTGCCACTGGAGGGTGAGCGGGAGCCCAGGACGTCCCTGCTGGGCTGCAGGGTGAGCACAGTTGTGGGCCGGGGCCTGGGGTGGCCCAGACAGCCTGGGGGGGTGGAGGCCAGGGAGGCCCAGGCCCTGCTGGGCTGCAGGAGGGGGAAACCTCCCACCCCAGCTGGCCACCCCTCTCTCTCTGGGGTAGGGGAGTGGGCACCCTGGGGCCCTGCTCCCGTTCCTGTTCGGGCCTTCTCCACCTGGCTCCTATTCCCTCATGGCCAGGGAGGCAGGTGACTCACGTCCTGGGGGAAAGAGGTGACAAGGGGACAAATGTCCGGCCTTCAGAACCTTCAGAAACAGCCCCGAGAAGCATTTCTTTCCAGGGGACCAATGTCGGTGAGATTCGATCTCTCTAGAAGCTGTGTATTTCTGTGCTCATATTATTCTTCATACACCAATATCGACATTCAGTGTCGATAGATATGTGGCACGTGTAGGCGAACAAAGGCATCAGATATCTAACGTTATTTGTGTGTGGTAAATATTTAAAGACTCCCGTGTGTTTTGATTGGAAAATGTGTGTTACTGGACAATTTAGTTTCAAAGGTTTCTCTCTAATGTCGGTTTATTGAGATTTATGAGGTGGCTGCAGCCGTGTGACTTGCACCTGCAGGTCCCGGTGGCGCTGCCCGGTGATGTTGTCTTCCATGGTCCCACTTCAGAGCGGAGCTCTTCTCTGTGCGTTATTAAGACGCAGTGATTTGCTCTGCGTAAGTTAACAGCCCTGTAAGATTGCCCCAAGAGGCACCGGGTGGCCAGTGTGGGCAGTTTGCCTGCCTTTCTGCATCCTTCCTTCCCAGGTGGCCAGGTCCCCTCCAGGGCTGGAGAGGGAGGGAGAGAGGAGGAGCGCTTTCTGGCACGGCCGCTCGAAGGCGAAGGCGCTTGCTGGTGGCCTGGGCAGCCCGGGGGTCTGGAAGGAGCCCAGGGCCACCGGGCCTGGTGCACCTTGCAGGAAGGTGGCCTGCTTCGGGCTGGTGGTAATGTCAACAGGGCGGGTGAGGCTGCCCCTCAGAGCACCAGCATCTTGGAGGAATTGCTTTCATCTCCTCCCATCCGGTTCCTCTGCACAGCGACTTCCTCCCTCACGGAGTTCTGTCTGGAGCTCCAGGGCTTTCCCCGGCTGTAACTTCCATGCATAGGTGACCCCATTAATGGAGGGGTGTGAGCTAGTAATCAGGTGAGTAATGACGGAGGCTGCACCCAAGCTAGTGCTGCTGCTCTGCTGCCGGTTGCATGGCGTGTCTTCCCCCAGCTCTCAGACGGTGACTGTATGTGATTAGGTTCTTTGCAGATTTCATTAGTTAAGATGAGGTCATACTGGAGCAGGTGGGTGCTCAGGTCCCTAACCCAATGCGTGGTGCCCTTGTCAGAAGACACCTCTGAGAAGCACAGAGACACACAAGGAGGATGCCGTGTGACCTTGCAGGCAGGGACTGAAGTGACAAGGCCACAAGACCAGGAACTCCTGGAGCTGCTGGGAGCTGGAAGAGGCCATGCAGGCTGCAACCCCAGAGGCTTCGGAAAGAGGTGTGCCAGCACCTCGGGGTTGGGCTTCTAGCTCCTGAAACTGTGAGACGATACATTGCTGTTTTAGCCCACCCAATTCGTGGGACTTTGTTACAGCAGCCGAGGGAGGCTGCATATTTTACACACAGAAAAGGGGAAAGGCAAGAGCAGCTGCTGTCTGAGAGAGGTGCCATGCGCGTGCTGCTGGGACGCCCACACGGCTTCGTACTCTCTGTGCCAGTTGTGGAAGTAGGAGGCATCGCGATTCCTGCTTTGGAAGCAGTGGCTCTGGATTGACCCCCTGGGCGGTGGGGCTGAGGGGCAGGCAAAAGGCACTTCCGGTGGGGCGGAGGGTGGCAGAGTGAACAGGACAGAGTGACCCTCACGCCGCCCCTTCTCTCTGCTCATGGTCTTCAGAGTTGTTTCCTCCACGCAGAGACAGAGTTGATCGGTGGGAGAGCAGGAAGGCTTCTTTTAGTCTTTCAAAATTCAGCTCGGAGTCTGGGAGCAGGGAAACTTAGGAACTGATGCAGCCTGTCAGGAGGGCCGCCGGGATGCACAGCCCACCGCCGATTTCTGCAGCTCGTCTGGCAAATAAGGCCTCCCACCTGTCCTGGGTGCTGCCCGCGCATGCTGCTCTGTGAACGCAGCAGGGGAGAGGTGCAGCGTCCTGCTCACTCCCCGGGGCCCGGAGCGCGGTGGTGCCTCCCATGCAGCGGCTTGCGCCCGCCCCAAGCATGAATCACAGGAGCCCGCAGTGCTCACTCTGCTAAAGCTGCAGTGGAGGCCGCGGTCACCCGGCCAGGCCAGGGCCGTGGCTCCAGCCGGCCTAAGGATGGGGAAGCTTGTTGTTGGGGACAGTGGGGTGGGAAGACGCTCAGGTCCCTTGTTTTGTTTTGCCGAGTCCCAGTAGGATCTTAGCCTGCTCGCAAATGCCCCTGCCTCTTCCGGGAGCCTGCGGTGGGGCCCTGCTGCTCATCTTCGATCGGACGCAGGCTGTTCGCAACCAGCCATCCACCAGGCAGGGTGGGCCTTTGACCTCTGCTGCCGAGAAGACAAAGCATCACCTCTAGGCCTCCGCGAGGGGCGCAGGCATTGTGTCACTTTCCACACCGCACAGGAAGTCGTGGCGGTGAAGGAGAGTGGCACCTGCCGTCCCGTGCCCCCACCTAAAACTGCAGTGTAATTATGGACTTGCTGGTCTTTGTGCTGTTCGTGGTTCCGGTAAATATTAATGGGCTGCCTTTTATTCATTTAGCTTATGTTTTTGAAAGATGGCCCCAAACAAAAAGATCATATCTGTATGTTGTGCTTTAATTTATTTTCACCTTTTTTTCTCCTTTGGAGACCCCTAGTGTATCATCACTTTGTTTACCACAAATTAAACCGGGGCTGATTGTTTACCAGACTGCGGGCCTCTGTGTGCTGCGCCTCGCACTCGCCTCTTTTTTTTTTTTTAATAATCACAACCTGGGATTCATTTGCAAGAGGCCCTAATCTGCATGAGAATTATACAATTAACTTTTGATTAACCACCTAGTTCTTTCTGAAACCGCAGTGTATAGGACACTCTGCATTTAAATAATTTTCCTTAAATGGGGAGCAGGCCTTTCATTAAGCTGGTGAGTTTGACTAAACAACAACATTTGGAGATAATCAGGGTCAAAACAATAGGTAAGGCGGCAGGGCGAGAATGTCATCTTTAAATAGAACAGCCGAGATAAAGGCCCCCAGATTGTGCCTTATCAAAACACAAAAAAGTCAAAGCGCTCTCTTGTCTGCGCGGATCGCGGGCCCCGGTGACGCCGGGCGGCCATTGTGCGGCCGCGGGCGGCCGGCTCGCACGGGGGCCGCGAGACACGCGTTCCATCACGCGCCGCGCTTATCTCCGCGTCTGACAATAATTATCGGGAAGAATATACTCAGAATGACTTTTTTGTGATTTTTATGCTTCCCCGACACAAGGAAGGGGAGATAACGGCATTAGAAGGAAGGGGAGAGTCTCGCAAGGCGCTCCCAGGAGCTAGTTCTTCGATTAAATTCGCCGAGCCACTCGGAGCCGCTGAACAAGGGAGGAAGCCGGGGGCCTTTTATGCAGGGTAATAATGGTCCTGAACACAGACAGCCCTCGCCGAAAGATAAGATCCATTGTCGGAACAAACAAAGCCAGCGTATTCAACGGCACCGGAAGAATATCTATGAGCAAACTTTTAAATCCTGTTTCTCTCTCCTGCCCCCCTGGCTGCGCCAGGCACCTGCTGCCCCGGGAGCCCCTGGAGTACAGGCGCCTGGGAAAGCCCGTCATTCGTCTCCAGGGTCACTGGGGTGGAGTTGGGACTTTCGGAGGTCAAGGTCATGCCCTTCCTGCTGTAAGTCTCACATTTGCTTCTTCCCCGACGTCCTCCGGAAGAGACCTTGGTCTCGGATACTGAGACCCCGAGAGATCTGGCAGGGGGTCAAATGGGCAAGGCCCGGGCCAGCCGGTTGTTGTGCGTTCCGTCCCACGTGGTCCTGCCAGACTCCCCTGGCCTTCGAAATCCTCAGGTTGTTATTTTTCCTTGAAATAAATATTCTGCTTTCTTCTCCTTACAGGAAACATCCAACGACAGCACGGTGTTGCATTTAAATGCTGACGGAAGAATGTCTCTTAGAGAAATAAGGTTCGGTGATTCAAATTCACTGTTTTTCCAAAGTCTTTAGCACCCAGAGTTAATAACACAATATTAATTTTATACTTGATGCCCTGTTTTCTGCCCAGTGTCCTGGGGGATCAGCTGGCGTCCTGTTCCCTGGCCTCAGCGGAAGGAACACACTAGGATCCCGAGACAGAACTTTCCGGTTGAATTTACATCAAAACACCATTTTGTCTCTCCCTTCCCAACCAGAGAGTCACCCATCGTTAGGATTTGATTCATATGCCTCTTGTTCAGTCTGCTCAGCCACAGAAATGAACCAGAGCCCTTCCCTGGCCCTGGGGCTCTGGTTCAGGGTGGAGGGTTTTCCCTGACGTGCAGACTGGGGGCTCTGAGCTGCTCTGTTGGGTGAGGGAGTGGCGGCGAGAGTTCCCAGGCAAGCTTTGGTGACAGTGGGGCCCAAACACACAGACCAGGAGGCAGCGGGGCTGCGGATAGGACCTGGTGTGACCACGTGCAGCCCAGGAGCAGTGGAGCCCTGGGCTCTTTGCACAGGCGCTGGAGGGCGTGGGTGGAGGTGGCCAGGGGCAGTGGAGGGACCTGCTGTGAGCACAGGGTGCTGCCGGGAGACTGGGAGGGCGGGTTGGGAGAGAGGAAGGAAGGGTCTGTCCATACCCCTGCTGTGTGGCCTCCAGCAAGCCCCCTTCCTCTTCAGAGCCTCAGTTTCTCTTTCAAAACTCACATGGCTTCTCAGAGCAAGTGCATCTGCTCGGCCCTAAAATTCAACTGGGAATAATGAGAGGTCCTTGGGTGCTTCCTTCCTGGGCAACTGGTTTACCCTCCCGGTGCTTCTTTGGGGTGGGAGGAGTTGGCGCGCACAATAGAAACCCGTGGTGTGGCTTCCTTCCATGGAAACCTTGTCTTAAAGCCGTGCGCGTGCTGGTGAGTGAGCCGGCACAGACGGGGCGGAGGCGGCATGCCAGCCAGGCACAGGGGCGGCATCTGTGGCATCTTCCCCCACGCTGGCCATCAGGTCTGCCCACGAGTGCAGGCCATAGGAGCCGGACACACTGCCCTCCACTCCCAGCGTGGAGAACCCACCCGTTATCTGCGGCGGCTGCGCAGGGAAGCAAGGGCGCCCGCACGTGGGATGCATTTTCCATCGGAGCTGGAGGGCGAGGCGGGAGGAGGGCTGAGGACCAGGTGCGCTCTGTGCCTGCTTTTGTCCTGCCTGCGGCCTGGTCCCGCAGGCCCGTGGAGGGCCATGCACGAGGAAGGGATCTCTGACGCCACCCGAGGCCCTCTGCTCCCCCACTCCCGCCCCTACCGTGCCTCTCCGCAGCGGGGACTTCTTCCCACGCAGGCCTTTGAACCGGCCAGTCTCCGAGGCCAGTCGGCCCCCATGGTGGGTGACACGGAGGCTGCCTCTGACTGTGCAGAGACATGCATCCCGCCAACGGGCGGGGCAGCACCTGCGCTGCAGAAATTGTCTTTAGCCACACTTAAATAAAAATGAGATGAGCAATGAAATTTGATTTTCAAAACCTCCTTCTTACTGTAAGTGGCTGATGCCCTTTGAACATTCGGAGAACTGCTCCAAGCAGACTCCATATGTAGTTTTGGATTCTCAGTTAATTGGGCCTCGGCGTCAGTCTTTGGCATGAGTGAGGAGAGACGAGCCGCTGTTCTGAAGCCCAACCACATCGCGCGGTGGGGACTCCCTGAGTGGCCCGTGCGTGCTCCGGGGGCTGGTCTCCGTGGGGTGGGTGTTTCGAGTAGGAAGACTCGAGAGCAGCTGGGCGGATAGATGCCACCATATGGGTTTGCTGATGAGTGTGACTGGCCACCTGCAGCTGGAAGGTGCCGGAGCTGACGGAGCCGGCCCTGACCCACACAAAAAGGGGGTGGGCTCCCACGCCGCACCTGGTGAGGGGAGACTCTCACGGCGGAGGGCGAGGTGGCTGCACACGCGACTATAACTAAAAAAGGGCTTTGCAGATGGATCCTTGAACTAGTCTCTGTCTTATATTACAAAAACTGAAAAGATATAGGAAGGGCAAATTGGGGACTAGGAAGATTACAGTCATATAGCTTCCCAGCTAATTGATTAGCAATTACGGCTGGTAATATTGTTCATTTTAATTGTGTTTAATCTCTATTTTGGTAATAAAGATTATTGTTTTGGATTATGACTTTATCCTACTATACTAATTACTAACTTGTGAAATTAAAGTGTATATTTTCACATCCTGAAAAAAATTCACAACGTGCTTTATATAATAGCTTCCTTTTCTGGACATATTGGTTGTTTTATCCTTAACATCTTAGAAGGGCTCGATTTTGGCAAGCAAAGTCAATGATACTTGGTCTTTACCAAGTATTCTTTACCAAGAAATACAGGCTTTTTAAAGGAAAAGTCATGTTTTTAGGGGAATGAAAGAAACAAGAAGATATTGCTGGAAATAAATCTGAAAAGTGAGAGAACACAAGTCGATTTACATGGAAAACTGGTTTTTAATTTTAAAGGGGGTGTATCCTTGGAGGCATGTCTGTAGATCTTGATGGGGGTGCAGTAGCCTGACCCCACCTCAGAGCGCCTAACCCCACTTTTTTACTGTTTCGCCTTCAGATATCATCTCCTTCCTCCTAAGACAAACAATTTGACACATCTCTTTCTTGTGCTTAATTTTTTTTTTCCCCCGCAAACTTCTTGTATGAAGTAGCCCCTGTTTATAGCTCCTGTTTCCCTCCTCACCTTCTCCTGACTCTTGTGGAGGAACCAACCAGATTTGTGCAAGACTCCAGTGAACGACCCCCAGCCCACAAAGGCATCTTCCCAGATCAGAGAAGGATGTTTGCAAATCCCTGACCTTGTCCATCCACCTCTCCTGTCCCCCACCTTCAAATACAGTCATGCACATTCCAGTTAACAACCTACTGCATACATGACTGTGGTCCTCTAAGGTTTCAATGGAGCTGAACGGTTCCTGTCACCTGGTGATGACGCCCTGGCCATTGTAATGCATTTCTAGTTTCCACCAATGCACCATGCATTGCCCAGTGTCTGTGGTGATGCTGGTGGAGACCAGCCTGCTCTGCTTCCAGTCGTATAAAAGCATAACACGTGTGATTATGTACGCCATACAATGCTTGATAATGATAATAAAAGGCCATATTCCTGGTGTACATACTTACTATAGTATACTTTTTCTTATAATTTAAATGCATGCTCCATCTACTTCTAAAAATAAAGTTAACTGTGAAGCAGCGCCAGGCAGGTCCCTAAGGAGACATTCCAGCAGAAGGCACTGCTATCACGGGAGATGACAGCTCCATGCCTGTCATTGCCCCTGAAGACCCTCCAGTGGGACAAGTATGGAGGCGGAGGACAGTGATATTGATGGTCCTGACCCTGTGCAGGCCTAGGCTAATCTAATGTGTGTGCTTGCATCTTTGTTTTTAACAAAAAAGATTAAACATATTTAAAAGCTTATACAAAAAGGATATAAAGAAAGAAAATATTTTTGTACAGCTGTATAATGTACGTTTTAAGCTAAATATTATTACAAAAGTGTCAATAGGTTCAAAAATTAAAAAGTTCATAAAGTAAAGAAGTTACAATAAGCTAATTTATTATTGAAGAAGGAAAAACACTTATTATAAATTTATCGTAGCCTAAGTGCACAGTGTTGAAAGTCCATGGTAGCACACAGTAATGTCCCAGGCCTTCACATCCACTCCCGTTCACTCACTCCTCACGCAGAGCAACGTCCAATCCTGCAAGCTCTGATCATAGTTAGTGCTCTATACAAGTGTCCCATTTTTTTTAAAAAAATCTTTTACACTGTCTTTTTACTGTAAGACTTTTCTATGTGTAGATCCACAGTACTTGCCATGGTGTTAGGGTTGCCCAAGGCGTTCAGCACAGTAAGGCGCTGTGCAGGTGTGTAGCCCAGGAGCCACAGGCTACCCCGCAGAGCCCAGGTGTGTCGTAGGCTGTCCCACGAAGATCTGTGTAAGGACACTCTGTGATGTTTGCACAAGGATGACATCGCCTGAGGACGCGTTTCTCAGAACATAGCCCCATTGTTAGGTACTACGCGGCTGCATTAGAATTTCCTGAGTATCCTTCTACGCACCCCCCACCCCACAATTGTTGTTATAAAAGGAGTGTAAGGAGTATGTTTTAAGGGTACCACGTATTCAAACCATTATTCATAACTGGGAGTATTTCCCTTTTTTTTCCTGTTAACATAGATCAAGGGTTGGAATTTTTTTTGTAGTGGGTCAGATCATAAACACTTGAGGCTTTGCAGGTCTCTGTGGTTGTCACTCGCCTCTGCTCCTGTACCCTGGAATCAGCCACAGACAATATGTAAGCGTATGAGCGTGGCCAGTTGCCTATAAAACTTTATAAACAGGCAGCAGGATGAATTTGGCCCACAGGCTGCAGTTTGCTGACCTCAATATAGATATTTACATATATACAATATTATATAATATGTGTGATTGTTAACATTATAAGGGAAAATTTTCCCTTTGCCGATCAAGTTTGTTTTGAGTGTAACGTTAACAGTTGTATAATATCCTAGTCCAAATACTCATTGTTGTTTTATTTTCAAAAATATTATATCAATTCATAATGGGTGCATGAGAGTGCTAGCCTATCACAGGCAAATTGGTAAAAATAAGCGAAAGGCTTTGTTTGCTAATTTGTTAGGAATATGAGACCTTACGGACTTCTAGCTGGTACCTTTACCGGTCCTGCCCTGTTATGTCAACGGTATTGATTAGGTTACCTTAGAGTTAATCGATGCACGCTGAGATGCGTAGAGTGCTTCACGGCTCCGAAAGCCATTCCCTAGGTGTTTCCGCACCCAGTCTCCCCAGGGTGCCGTGGGGCAGCCTGATCTCCAACTTCCAGCAGCCGTGAAAGCTCAGAAAGGGTCTCAGACGCAGGGGCCAATGTACGCCTGCCGTCAAATCCTGACCCTGAATGCTGCACTTTTCCCACAGCAAACCCTCAGTCAGGAGCAGATGGCGTCCCACCAAGGTGACTTCCTGTACAAACAGACCCGTCAACTTGCCCAGGGCGCATGTGGCCGCGGCATGTTCCTAAGTCACCGCTGATCATTGCCACACGCCAAACTGGAACCGCCATGTTTTTATGGTACACTTTCTTGCCTCATACCTCCCTGGGGTGGGGGGGTGCCCTAAAGATGTCACTCTTAAAGGCCCCCAAGGCTGATCTCGTGCTGTGCCGTGCTACCTCTGGATCCCTCTTGCTCCTGCTCCCCCTGCCCCTCCATTTTCCTTGCATTTCTCAGAAGCTCACGTGAACCAGGTGTCACAGGCATGGGAACCGAGAAAATATAATTAGACTAAAACCCTTTAAAACAAGCTAAGTAGTTTAAACAGCCTTCTTTTTTCTTTTTCTTTCTTTTAACAAAAGCAACAGGACTTTCGAGCAGTGCCTCTACCCTGCAGCGCGAATTGGAGCACTTCCTCTTCGCCACGAGCCGCTTGAACGAAACCCTCGAAAACGGTGCCCAGAGGTGCAGCTGGCACTGATGTCGCCGCCGGAGCTGCAGGGGAGAAAGCAGCGTGCTCTGCCCCGAGCCTCCCTCTGCCCTCGGAATTAGAAATGAATCACATTCCTGATAAACGTAATCCCACAAATTCTCTGAATGAATAGTGCCGAGCGCAGGAGCTGGCATGAGCCGGCGCTGGAGGGAGAGCCCTGCCCACCCACCGCCTCTGCAGCCAAGCTCCCTTCCTCGCCTGGAACACCAGGCACGTGTTTGTGCCGATGCCCTTGGAAAGCCCTGCAAGTCCCTTTTGTTTGGGCAATTTGCATTTGTTAGACAGTGTCTAAGTGTGGGGACTCCAGATCCTAAGCACACTTTGGAGACACCATTTGAGGGCTTTACAATGGGCTTGGGCCCGAAGCCGAGGGCACCGGGTTACTCGTGGCCTCTGCAAACACTGGTCAAGGACCCCCTCCTACATGGGGGAGTCCTTTGATGTATTTCTCTCGGCGCTTGCGCCAGAACCAACTGTATTGCAGGCCGTCTAATTGAGACTTGGCAGCTGGCAGCCCGGATCAAAGGCAGCCCAGGCCCAGAGCTCGGATCCCAGGCCAGTGGGCACTTAGCGCATCGTGGAAGCAGAGTGTCCTGTCCGCCTTCCAGAAGCTCCTGCCAACGCTGCTGCCTCAGCAACCCCCGGCTGCTCCGAAGCTTGCTCCACCGCCGGTTCCAGAAGGACACACTGGTGAGCTATTAAAGACAGCAATGAAGTGCCGTGGTGACAGCAGTGATTCAGGGAAAGATGAAGGAAGCATCTGGGAAGGAATTCTCTCTTTTTTCCACTGGGCTGAGTCCAAGAGTGGGAGCACTGAGCCAGCCCTAGGCAGGAGGTGGGAAGGCCCTGGAGGGACCGGGCATGTGTGGGGGATGGACTGTCCCTGCGGGGAAAAGAGCACCG